CTTTATCTTTTTTTTTTTCTAACAGAGTCCTGTCTGGCAATGTGGCAATAAGAATAATTGTCTTAATGCCAAAAAGAGCCCAACAAATTTTACTTTTACAAGTGGAGCAGTACGGCTATTGCCATAGTGTTCCAATGGTTTCATGCATATAAATTGCTTTCTTATAATTATGCAAGGAGTTTTACAGATTATATGGGCACTGCAATGTAAGTAGAACAGAAGAGGAAAAACAGAAAAAAAGGAGAAAAGATGAAAGAAAATGGAGATAAAAGGGAAATAATGATAAAACATTTTCAGTCTGCTTCATCCCCTGCAAAGAGATGTCAAAAGAACAGCACAACCAACACACAAGGCACGAGACATACAATAAAGAACACCTAGATATTAACGCTGGAGTAGTATTATTTAATCTACTTCAGCCTTAGTAGAAGTAGATTCAACATTTTATAAATATTTCTACTGGTGCGGAATCCTTTAGTACCAACATTAGCATTCCAACTGGAAGTACATTTTTCTATGTTTTGGCCCTTCAATCTGTCAATGACATTTGTCTAGTTACTGTATTAGTTTTTTCAATAAAATTAATACCTTTACTCTGGAGCTCGCTAGATGTTTTGTGGATGTATAATGTTTTGCAAATTAATTACTTTGATTGAGAAAGTATTAGCAATGCCCTTTAAAGCTATATCACATAGCTTGTGACCCAAGTATTTGCTTAGTTTGAGGTATAACATCATTTCTATCAATGCTCAGTGCAGGCTGTTCTTCTTAAAAACTTGCCTCTCTAACTTCAAAGAGTCAGATAAGATTTTTTACTGAGTTATATGACCTAGAGCATTGGTTTTACAACAGTCTGTTCTCCCGGTAAACATGAGACAAATCTAAGCTTAAAGTTCTTGTTAAGCAACAAAATGAAAATAGCACTTGATCAGGTATATTTTTGGGTATCTGATGTAAGATGTAATCTAGAGGGGTGAATGTAGCCTTGTCTTTACAAGGAACTCAATGACTTCTCAATCTGCTTGTCCAAAGTGGTCTGCTATCAGATTCCAAAACATGGAGGGAGACTGCTTCAATTTCAGGGGCACTAAAGTTATTAGTCTAGTGGTCCATAGTGGCTAAAAGTCAATGTTGATTAAAGTAAAATATAGCTGACATTTAATAAATGTTTTTGCTTGGTTCTAACCGTCAGACTGTAATAACAACAACATTTTGGTGCTGCATAAAATAAATGTTTTCAAGCTAAACCATATATGAAGATAAAAGATGAAAAGTAGACCTTGTTCAAAAAAGGGAATAACAAGAACCACAATGGGCAATCGTTGAATTAGCACAACTGGAATCGTCATGCCTGTCATCAACACATATTGATCATTTATGATTTTATATAATTTGATCCTCCACCCAAAGCTCTGCCTGCTTATTATTTGTGGACTCCCTCTCTAGTCTTTCATTCTTTCACATACTTTTTGTTTTATTAGAATACAGGTGAAGTCTCCTGCTGCCTTTTAATAGTTTTCATGCCTGATTAATGAATTTATATCTAAGCCCTGGAGTGTTTGTACAACTGCTGGATATGTTTAATCAGTGCTCCACAGGTATGGCTGTTTAAACAGCCAGTGATCTAAAGGGCTGAAAGGTACTGCTAGATGTTTCTCTCTCTAACAAAGAATAAAACAAATTTGCAGGATTTTGTTTTTGCTTCTTTCTTGTGCAGGAAAAAAAAAAATCAAAAATATATTTATTTGTGTTGGGGAGAGGCAAAGGATATAACCAAAATAACAATCATAGGAAGATGTGGTTAAGCTTGTGTTTAATATACAGTGGCTCTGCTTTCCTTTGTCAGCTTATTTTTCCACCACACTGAGTTCACTGTATAGATCAATGTGTTGTAAACTTTGTATTTTTTAAATAAATAAACTGTAACAAGTGTAATATTTTCTAAATTAACTATTTTCTATGACATTTTGGGCTCCTGATTGGCTGCCAAGCCGTGTGTAGCCAAACGTCTTTCCCTCATCATTTGTCAGAAGCATTATGTAAGACCTTTGTATAATCTTTATAATTAATATCAATCATTATTTGGCAGTTCTGATCACAATGAGAGCCGCTCTCTTCAAGTTTGCTTTTTCTTATTCATAGTCCAAAAGAGGTGGAAGAATTTTTAGTAACTTAAAGCACACAGACCAATTTAAAGAGAAGAAAACTGGATGTCCTAGAGCAGAGGAGGTGTCCAAAGTCCTGCCTGGGGACCATTTGCAGTTTCATAATATTTGCCAAAACAAGGCAAAAAAAAAAAAATCTGATTGTATAATAACAGCTAAACACTTATGGCTCAGATTTTTCCTCTTTGCAAAGTTGTTGGTTTTCAGTAGAACCTGTCTTTTTAGCACTGCACCTAATAATTCTCAATAGGTCTAGGTAAATTTAAAACAAACTGGGAAAAAACAGTATTTACTGGATTAAGAAAAGGTTGACTAATAAAGTTTGTAAAAAAAAAAAAAAAAAAAAAAGGATTCTTAATGGGGCTAATGTCTATCTGAAGGAAATGTATCTTTATTTGTCGTTTTTGGGGTTTCTTTTTGTTATTTTTTCCATCAATAACCCCTGGATAACTGTTAGCGGAGCTGGAATAGACAGCCTGTATGCCTGATGTAAGTGAAAGGTCTAAAATGATCTATAAAAATCAGAAATTAAGATGTGAATTGTGAGATGTGATAAGGGTTGACATATGTATGTGTTGATATAAAAATGTTATCGAAAATAAAAAGTTCAAGGATTTAAGAAACTCTGCAACCATTAAATTGCCTTCAACAGCAAATCATCGGACAATCACCAATGGTGCAAAGTTAAGGATGTTGAGGGCAATCAATCAAAAAACAATAACCTGTAACACAATGGGTAAATTCTGGTCTATCGGTAGAAATTACTGGAAAAGTTTAAAGTTAGAAAAAAAAAGACTTTAAATTGATTGACCCTGTCATACGTGAATCGAATAAAATGTGCAACTGAGAAGGATGTGCAGGTATAAGTGTGTGTTGAACAAAAAACATCAAAAGACTACAACACAAATGAAAATGCTGATATATAAGAGCAGGGATGTGATCAATATATTGAGCTTGTTAGGAGCAGTTGTTGGAAGGGAAGGATCTGCAATTATGCTGCTTCGTGTGACAAGAATTTGCACTAATCTTTCACTGGAAAAAAGCTCAAGATTTATCACCTATCCTGAAGTAATTGGCTTGTGCCGGTAAACCAGTTAATTAAAAATAGGTCTACTGGTTTACACAGGACCAGTGTTCAAATATTTAGCCAGATTTTGACTTTTGAGGATGTAAGGTTTTGACCATGTCTCTTGAAACAGAGACAATCCATAATTTAAAATATGCCCCACTTCTAACTTTTTAATTTCTTTGCTTAATCATTTAGGAACCGTGACAGACAGAGTGGTGCAAATACTTCTTTAAAATCCTTGAATTTATATATTTAAGTACGTAGATGCAAACCAAAGCTCTTTGCTTCCTGTTTTTAAGAGCACAGAGAAAATGTTGCACATTATAAATCAACCACATAATATGGTCATGTGGATATTATGCATTTCTTTTAGTTGAGCTGAAGCCTAAACAGAATTTCAAAATGATTAAATCTGTCATTGTCTCGGGGAATAAACACCTGCACCTGTTCTCTTATTAAGGACATTTGCACAACACCTGTTCAGCTCTTTGTTTTTGCTACAAGCTCACAGCCATACTTGCCATTTTGCATGCAATACATCTGTAAAAAAAAAAAGCCACAGAGAGGAACAGGAACATTACAGAGCCTTCCTCTTCTACAGACAGTAGGCCGTGACTTTTAAGTTATTATTTTTGGGGGGGTCAGTTTGAAATGTTTTACAGGGGATTGTTAATTTTGCTTTTCTTCTGAGAAAAAGAAAATAAAACAGTAAGTGATGTTCATGCATTGGTGCTGCTCGCCTAGATATTTGTACATGGATGACTTGTTGAAGCTGTGAGAGATGCAGGCAGCTGGCTGACTAGTCATCTGTGAGCACACAGCTCAGACTGAAATTAGCCAGGAAACCGAAATTTTTTTGCAACAGACTGGGACCCAGTCAAGGTCAGAGTCAGTGTTTCTGCTGATGTGGTGTGCCGCTGCCCTCCTTCACCCATGTTAGGCATAAACTAATTCTTTCTGCAAAAACACTCTCGTTACTCCATTACTGCTGAGACTCTCCCCTTGTGCAGGACTGTGCATTTAGCTGTTAAATTAACCAGTGGAGGAAAGAGGTGACTCTTTCTGCAGGATTGCCTGAATACCTTTGCTCATGTGTGGTGCGTAGATGGATAGGCTGAGGTATCCTGATTTCCTGTGGGACTATGGTAATTGTGTTATAATGGAGGTGGGAGTGAGTGCCCATCGGCAGGGGTACAAAGCCGCCCCGTCCCAAAGTCCCCTTCCACAGTGACGTGATGCAGAAAAAAGTGCAAATTTGTGGTGTTGGGATTTCAGTTATGACGTCTATTTTTCTCTAAGGCCACGCTCACACTTATACATGAAGTGGCAGCTTTATGAGAGTAAAGAATTTAATCAGTTTGTCCACCACTAATAGAACTCCCCTCGGGGCAGCAGACAAATGTTGGCCCTCTGTTCCTTCAGTGTATGGTGTGCTCTAAACATTCATATTTTTTTAAATCTGCTTTAGTTGAGTAAAACACAACATTTTATAAATAGGGAGGTAATTGTACACCATCTGTAGACCAAAACAAAATATGTGACAAGCGGATCTTCTCTCTACCTGTACTCCAGCTGAACCCTGACACTCCCCTCACATTGTTTCAAAAGAAAAATAAACAATGAAACAGCATCACCTTTCAGAGAAGCACGTTAATTGAAGAAGTAAATAACTAAAAACTGAAATGTTAAAGCGACAGTCTTAACCTTTATATTTAACAGTTAAGCAAGCTTTTCATACTGTATTTCTTGCTGTTCTTTCCCTGTAGGCACCATGAGGCCTGTGCAGAGGAACTTTTACGACCCGTCATCAGCCCCAGGGAAAGGTGTGGTTTGGGAGTGGGAGAACGACAATGGCTCATGGACACCGTATGACATGGAGATCTGTGTGACCATCCAGAACGCCTATGAGAAGCAGCACCCTTGGCTGGACCTGACCTCTTTGGGCTTCTGCTACCTCATCGATTTCAATAGCATGTGCCAGACCAACCGGCAGAGTCAGCGCAAGCGGCGCCTTCGTAGACGAATGGACCTTGCGTACCCACTCATCATGGGCTCCATTCCCAAGTCCCAGTCATGGCCTGTGGGCGCAAGCTCTGGTCAACCTTGTTCATGCCAGCAGTGCATCTTGGTGAACAGTACAAGAGCGGCCTCTAATGCCATTTTAGCCTCTCAGCGGCGAAAGCTCTATGGAGGAACGACTGGCAACTCAGGCACCACGGGAACCCTTAGCGGAGTGCGGCAGAGCAACACCTTTGCTGGAACCTCCCTGTGGTCCCCAACGTCCGGCTCTTCAGGCACCAACCACAATAACATAAGTGTGGGAAATGGGCAGCCTAAAGCTGAACAGGTGCAGTCGCCGCTTTCTGCCAACTTCCCCTGTTCTCCGGTAATGCCATCACTTTCATCCTCCCACGGTCACCACGCGCTCACCATCAATGGACAGAACAATCTGAACCGGCCAGGTACCCAGCGAATTTCCATGGGGACCACTCGAGGAGCCATCCCACCCGGGTAATGATGTTTGCTTGTTCACTTGTTCAGATCATCTAAAGTATGTCTTACTGCCTCAGCACAAAGCTCAGATTCAGCTGAACCTCGGCAAAACTTGAACATTGATTGGATATAAAAAAAATAAAAAAAATGAAAAGCATGTTTGCCTCACAAAGCTTTACGCTGAATCTGTCAGATTCTTCTGTAGTTCTCTTATTCTTTTCTCTTCCTCCTCTGCTGATTTATGACCATTCTTTTACATGCTGATCAATGGATCTGTAGAAGAATAAAAAAACCTTCAGCTTAGTCGTGTTTTCTGTACGCCAGAGTCCTTCCTCCCCTTGCCTGCGTGTGTGTCTGCTCCATAATGAGCTTATGTTGGCCCCAGTAGGCGTGAAATACTGCAGCTTTTCTAGATCATTCTGCTTTGAACTAATTTGTTGCTATCAGGGTCCGCTCTGGTTGTTAAGTCGCTTGGAAGCTAAGGAGTCTGACACTGCATGTTGTGGAGGAGAATGTCAGTGTGTTTTTATTAGCATCTTTGTTTGATGGTCCATTGTTTTGTTGGGGATGTACACAAACTGTCTGATGGGTAAAGTGTGAAGAAGGCTCTGGTGTAGCTTTGGAAGCCTGTTTGCCATGAAGGCAGAGCTCCAGTGGGGAAGAATGAATAATGGATCAAGGGAAAATCAGAGCGCCAGCATGGTGCTGACCTCAGTGCAGTTCAGAGAGAAAGAATCAAGTAAAAGGATGTTTGTTCACGTTCTAAGAGGTACTCATCCCTGATCCCATTTTTTTTCCCATCACAATGAACCAAAACATTGAGAAATAGAAGCGCCTTTTGACTAAATGCCTGAAAAAACTGATACATTGCCATCTGCCATATTGCAGTAGGTTTGCCATGATAAATATAACAACAGAACCATGTTTAGAAACTAGAAAAAGAGACTACGGTTTACCCTGAACTAATTTTCATAATCTGTATTTTTCCATTTTGTTTTCTTTTAGCAATGTTGCATTAAAACTTGATATTTAAGATAAAAATTACTATAAATTTTTTATTTTGAAAAAATAAAGCTTAGAAACAATCCACAGAGGTAATGTACCTTGAGCCATAAAAGGAATGTAAAGCAAAGCTGATTTTTTGAGGTAATGAGGAAGATCTACTTGCCCCTAAAATGCTGAACTAAGATGTAGCTACAAGCATGCTTGATGTGAGGGATTGCTTTCGAGTCAATGAGTCGATGCAATCTGCAGGTTTTCCTTAGATAGAAAACTTTGAATCAATTTGACTGGATGATCTGGTTGAATTCTCTCTGTAAAGTGCCTTGAGATGAAATGTGTTGTGAATTGGTGGTATATAAATAAATTGAGTTGAATTAAATTGAATATTAGGTTCGGTAATATTACTTAGAGGAGCTGCTCTCTACTCAGTGCTGGTTTCAGCCTCTGTGATTTATTGAAAAACAAAACTTTCTTATGCCATGTCTGATATTCAATGTCCATAACACTAAACTCTCTCTTATTATTAACTCAGTTTTATTCTTTGTGTGTGTGTGTGTGTGTGGGGGGGGGGGGGGTACACAAAGTTCTTGGCTGAATAAAATCCTGTCAACATTGTGGGCTCAAATACTTTCACTTTCTGCTGGCTGATTCAGGTCACTTAAACACTGAGGGAGTGCTTCCATCTCTAACATACTTTCAGAACTTACTTAAAGCTCAGTCGTGCAGAGTTGTAGGTGAAATGTAAATTCTTCACCTCACAGCTCAGAAATAGTGAGATCCACAGTGATAGAGAGAGAGAGAAGACAGATGGGGGTGGGGGTGGTATTGAGCGTGAGGCGGAGCAGATCGGTTCCCAGGCGAGTGGCTCGACGTACAGGATGAGTGTGGTTAACATACGCGCAGCAGGACATGAGAGCTTGCAATCACACGCAGGCACAGGGTGAAACACAAACTCCCAGCGCACGTTCCCACAAGTGTGTGCTACACACAGATAACAGGGGAACCCACACAGAACCTAAAACATCAGATTTCTTTCACTCGCCTACGCCCTAATTTAACTGTTGTTGGGTGCAGGAAAGGTATTTGGCACACTGTGGTTTGTTTATACAAGTTACATTTGCTGCTTTGGTAGCAAAAAGGCAGCCGTGCTACTTTTAAACATACCTTTATATCATCTTCATTAAAACAAATGACTACAATAATCTTTATATGCATTTTTTTTTTTTTTTTGTAAGAGAACACTGTCATAAATGTTGGCATGACTGACGGTGGCAGCTGCAGTTTACGTATTGATTTTTATTCAGCATGTCATAAAACAACTGGTCAGAGGTTGTAAAGAGGATGGGGGTTGGGTGCTGTAAGAATCAATCTCACACGCACAAATATTAGAGGTGGCACCATCTGCTGGTTTGTGCAAACCCATTGGTTTCCATTAAAACTGGACAGCCAACGTCTGACAAGTATGCTTCAGTGGTGGTGACTCAGAATCTGTTAATACTGGAATAAAAGATGCATTCTTTACCCTTAATGAATTTTAAAAAATAATCATTTTACTCCTTGTATTCTTTGTTTAAGAACACATCTGCACAGGTCGTGGATTTACTTGTGGAGAAAATTTTAAACATAGGTATTTCTCTTACCCCTTCAACACAGCAGTAGTCTATTATATATTATAAAGCTGTTCTATCAAACTTGGAACATTTATGTGCAAAATGCATTGAACAGTCTCAACGTAGGAAATTATAAACTTAGTGGTATAGGCTACTACGATAGCGGTAAAACAATGAAGGTATATGACTATGTAACAATATTTATTGTGGTTTTCAGTGTTGTTTGTTAAAAAAAAATAATACCATAACCTGCACATAAAATAACGGATTAACTGACAGAACTCATTGTTTTCTGATCAGTGGCACCTCTGACTGAGCGGATAAGGCGGCGGGATTGAATTACACTGGCTGTTAGTCTGGTTGGGAGGAGTCTAGCTGTACAGAATGACTGTGGTTATTAAAACCTCTTAACATCCACCTCATTTGGGGAAACTCTCAGCTATTTTGCATACCCAAATGGAAAAGCAAATAACTTAGTAACTGTAAGCCCAAATTACGTTTGATACATTATTTCAAAGCTTACACCTTCTAGTTTCTGAATGTATACATGCAAATGGGGTGAGTAAAACACAGCCTAAGCTGCATCAGTTCAAACACGACTCAAAGTTGTTTTTTATTCTCGAAAATAGGTCTTTTTTATTCTCGAAAATAGGTATTTTTTGAACGGCAGTAATAAAGACATGCCTGCTTGTTGTGGCTGCTTTGTCATGTCATGGTATATTTTGACATCTTGTTATATCTCTTAATTGTGCTTTGGTGCTCGCTATTTCCATAAAATGAACTTGGTGGATGAATTGTGGAGAATCTAAGCTTTCCAACGATTTCTAACATGTCAATACTGGTAAACATTTTACCAGTGCAATTTTCATGCGTTCTGAGTTATTAATTGTAAACGCTTTAAAGCGGGTCGTTTTCAAACAGACCCCTTAGGTTTTGAGAGGTTAAGGGGTCAATGGAGTTTTGGCTTAATTGGACCAAGAAATCCAGACTTAATTCCTTATGTTGGTTTTGTGAAATAGGTCTGAAATGTACCATAATACACACCTTCACAGGAAAGACCTTCTTTTGGCAAACGAGGGATGATCATTTGTTCACTTTGGCCTGCAGAGGTTTTCACTAAGGGGCCCCGTTTCCATCCAATTGAAATGGAAATTTTAAGTGGATTATTAAAGCTCTAAAAGAAGGATATGCGAATTTGCAGTCTTTCTATTTGGTCTAAAGCAAATTAACCAAGAATCGCAAAACGTTACTTCATTATATGTCGTTCAACCTGGCTTTAATAAACAGGAGTTGGAGGCTGCAATCCAGCACTGACCACAGATCAGTAATCGAGGAAAGTCTTAATGAATGTGTTACAGTTGGGAAGTTGTTCTTCCTGTGGTGCATCTTGATGTTGCTTCCAGCCATTTTTACATGTGCAATAGGAATATCTGGTGACAGCAGAAACAGCTGATCAGTCATGTGAGGTAAAATCTCATCAGAGCTGATTAAACAAAAATAGTTCCCATTTCCTGTTTTGTGCATTAACCCTTTATTTGCAAAAGCTGAAAACCACCTCAAGCATGCTTAAAAACTTTTTCCTACAGTAATTTTGGCTGTTTCATCAAGGTTTTCTGATGTGGTCCTTCAAAATGTGCTTTAGACGGAGATGATGGAATGGTACTTTTTCAACTTCCCATTTTCTCTCTATATGTACATAATGACTCAGCATCTTTCCCTGGCGTTCCAAAGATTTCCAACATTTTTCCAGCTGAATTTACCAAAAGCAAAAACAAAAGTGTTAAGAGCATGTTTATGTACAGAGCAATGCATGCATGGAAAACATTAATAGACAAAATAGTACAGGAAATAAAAACCAAAATATTCAATTCTGTATTACAATGGAATGAGCGTCAAAGAAAATAGAAAATGTATAAAAAGTGCTTTAATTCTTTGAAAGTGGAATTTTTTTTTATAAAATTGTAAACAATGCTCGATCACAAGTTTTTATCCGTATTTTTATTCAAATTTTTTTCTGTTTTCGGACTCCAGGAAGAATAGTGACAGCTTGTTGCGCTCATGAGGATCCCATTAATAAACAAACAAAACAAGGTGTGTATTTGATTATCAGGCCTGTGAACATGATGGACTGTTTTTGTTTTTAGATATTTCGCCCTACTTCATGTTGTCAAACAGGTTATTGGTTTCAGACAGGCTTGTGTTACTTTTAAACGTTGAAGTTTAACAGAAAAAAGAAAAGCAAAAACAGCAGAAATCGGTTGCTTTGTGGTAGCATGAGCAGTCAAGCTGGTTCACACGATCTGTTTTTTGTTTGTTTTTTTTGTTTGTTTTTTTCACTTATCACTTAGGGCAAACCACTTCCTCTTTTGTTTAACAGATTCAGGTTCTGTGTCAGCTTTGTTCTTT